GATTTCTAGAAAAAACATGTGTCATTGACAAACTCTATGTCAAAGAATGGAATGGAATGGAATGGAATGGAATGGAATGGAATGCTATAAATGCTGGTATCCAGGAAAAAAACTATGATGAGGAAACAAATGCTGTGAGAATGTTAAAGATTCTAAGGCTGTAGGTATAGTCAAGAGCCAGCTTGGTACAGTGGTTAAGGCATCAGGCTAGAAACCAGGAGACCATGACTTCTAATCCCACCTTAGGCACAGACAGCTGGGTGATCTTGGGCCAGTCACTCTCTTTCAGTTCTAGGAAGAAGGCAAGGGCAAACCATTGCTGAAAATCTTGCCAAGAAAACTGCATGAACCTGTCCAAGCAGTCACCAAGAGTCAACACCAACTCAAAGGCACATACACACGTACAAAAAAAAGGTGTAGATGGTATTACTGGAGAAAAGTTAAAATACAGATGCATGCCTAGCAGAATAGTGTTCAAAAGGATATGAAAGGCAACAATGAGCAGAATTTGGGAAGTAGCTATACATTAAGCAAGGGGTATGCAGGCTAGAGTTTTGCTCTTCAACAAGTCATTGAGAAATGCATGTATGCAAAAAAGCAAGTTTCTTGTATGTTACTTAATTTATAAAAACTGTATGGTATAATGAATAGGCTGGAATTATGGAATATTTTGTTTGAATGTGGAGTTGAAAGTGGTTGCTGAATGCAATAACAGCAGTATAATAAGGTAGTAAAGCATGGATGAGATTAAATGGAATGGTTCGTGGTTGGTTCCACACTGCCAAAGAACTGAGACAAGGATATATGATGTCCCCTTGATTATTTGATGTATTAAATATATATGGGATGATTGTGGTAATGTTAGAGTGGTACTTGTTGGGGACATGAATGTATGTGGAAGACGAGAGTATTTGCGACTGAGACAGCACATGAAGTAAATGATTGCAAGTTTTAGCTAAATGGCAAAAAAATAGTATAAGAAATTTGTGTACCATGGCGGAACTAAAGACGGGGAAATATATGGAGGAATTTGAATGGGTCTATAGATGAAGAAATGGATGAAGAAATGTGAGAGAGGTAGTGAGAGTTGAATTGTTTAGTTATAGAATTCTTTGCAAATAATAATGTTTGGATGCTGAATTCAATAAAAAGCAGTATATAATGTAAGTAGAGGGGACCTGAGGAAAAACTTGCAAATAGTTCAGCATTGAAAGAAAGTAAGACAAGTCCATTTGATTGTTTAATGTACTGATGGATAAATTAATGGGAATGCTAATGGTGATGATATAGGTATGCTGATAGGGAACATACATGTGTATATACTTTTCCATGCACATAATGCCATCTTGTTGGCTGAAAACAAATTATTTGTTAGACTTAGATATATTGTTAGATATATTATTTGATGCAGTGAGGAGTATGGACCTGAAAATTAATATTTCAAAGAACTAGGCCATTAAGTTTATCAGGGAAAATAGAATAAATGATTCCAAAAATTAACAGCACATAGACTAAATTGGGTATCTTACTAGATGTTTACTAAAGATGACAAGATGGATGGAAAAATCTGAAGATGTTTAATATTGGTAGAGAAGTAGTGGGCAGTGAGAAATGAATGTCTATTAAAAGAAGTGAAAATGGTTTTGTATAAGAACGTGTTTTTGCCTACTTTGTTATATGGTAGTGAGAGTTGAATACAAATTGAATATAGTGGGAACATGAGTGGTGAGTGGTAAAACAAAAAGAGCATCGAGCAAAATGGGTACTGAACAAATGTGGATTGAGTATACAAGTGAGTGACCACTATAAAAGAACTAAGATGGCTTGATCATATACAGAGAATGAATGAAGATCAAATTGCAACACGAATATATGAAGAATGAATGGGTCAAGAAGAAGACCAAGAGAGCCATGTTGGATAGAGTTGATGAGATCCTCAAAAAGAGAGCAGTGAGAGGTTTAAATAACAAAAGGCAAGATATGAAGCAGTGCATGGATGTGGTGGAAGCAAGATACTCTGCAGGGACAAAAAGATACAGAAAAGTAAAGTCAACAATGTTGGAGTAAACTAGATTTATTCCTTTTCTTATCTCATATCTTTTGTTTCCTTGGATTTCTAATTCTTACTCCTTTTTGTTCTTGGCATAATACTGTTTACTCCCAAACCGAATAGCATGATGGCTACGTGTCTATGTATGTTTGTAAACATCCACAGAATTCTACTGTTAAATGCTTCCTGTTTCCAGTTTTATAGGCTTTCTTGAATAAAAGGGAAAACAATGAGTAAAAAAAAAAGGCCTTCTTTTCTGATATTGGGAAGTATTATCTGCTCACTGCAAGCATAGCAGATTATTATGGGAATGGAGGAGAAATACATCATTTCAAGACAAATACTAAAAAAGTTAGCTCCATATCTACAGGCATGCACGCTCTTATCTTTACTGAATGTTGCATTACCAACACAGATGAGCATAGCACAATTCTTCAACTAAAATTCAGTCTGATTGTGATTTAGGCTTAAGGCTTTTTTTTCCAGAGAAGGTTAAGATCATTTAACTCTATAAACAAGCAGAAATGACAATATAAAGCAAAAGAAACCCCAAATCCTTCCACTAAGCAGAGGATTATAACATAAGGGCAAGACAGTACAAAGAATGGATATTCCAGATGGACCTATTTCTGTACTTCTTCCTGCACTATTAGGCATTTAATGAAACACGGGCTTTCTAGGATGTGCAGCAACACGTGCATTAACTGTTTAAGGTCCACTGAGAGTCATAGTCTAAAGGTATACAGAGAAGCAATTCTAGCCCTTTCAGACAAGCAACTGAGTGGATTAAGATGGTGTGAAAGTGCCCTCTACTGGTAGAAAGGATATTGGCTGGTGGGGGAGGAATATCATCAGAAAGATCAAACCGAAGATCTAACTAATCCAGCATTCTAATCTCAAAGTGGCTGACCAGATACTTCTGGAAGCCACAAGCAGGACAGGACTGCAATCGCATCTTCTCATTTATGGTCCCCAGCAACCAGTGTTGACAGGCGTTTTGTCACTGGTACTGAAAGGAATATAAACAGCATCATGATTGGATTAGCTCCCATGAATTTTTCTAATTTACCAATGTGATAGTGATGGCTAGAGTGGTCAAACTGGGACTAGAATATGCAGGTCGAAGTCCCCACTCAACCTTGAAGCTCACTGGGTGACATTGACCCTAGCACATTCTCTGTCCAATCTATCTCTCAGCATAGCTGTTCTGAGGATAAACATGAGCGCTAATCCCATGTACACCACCTTGAGTTCCTTAAAGAAAAGGCAGGATACAAATGAAATAAATCAATAAAGCCACCCAGGTTTGTGACTACCATTTCATCATCCTCAAAAGGCATACTTATACTACAGAAAGCTTAGGTGATTAGATTTTGGATGTGCTGAATTGAAGGCATAAGTCATTCTTCCATTGTTCTCAGGCTACTTTAGATATTTTTCTCTCCCACAGATTTGAAGGAGAAAGACATTTTTAAATTGGTGAGAGAAAAAAAAAGGAAAATAGCCCAGACTGGTTTTTCTGTCTGCAGGCTGAGCTCTGCATGTCAATGGGGTATTGCAGGAGATTCTACTTTCCTGCAACATTCTCTAAATTCAGTGTTTCTTAACCTTGACAACTTGAAGATGTGTGGACTTCAACTCCCAGAATTCTCCAGCCAGCATGTTGGCTGGAGAATTCTGGAAGTTGAAGTCTACACATCTTCAAGTTGTCAAGGTTGAGAAACACTGCTCTAATTCATCTGTTCTCCCCATCTTCACCCAATATTAAGTGCAGAGAATTTAGTTCAGGAATCCTACTCATTAACTTCAATATCTATAATACTGGAGTATGAGTAAATCATCATGTTGCTAATGTAACTGGAATACTTCATTTAAACACATGTTTTTTCTATATTCTAATGTTACTCTGTTCTGGGAAGAAGCAATTACATGCATTAATTTGATTTTGAAATAAAGTTTAATATTTTTCTATGCACATGTTCTTTTGAACTACCTACCTGCAACATAGAAATTGACAGCTGGACAACAGAAATGGATTCTCTGTGCCCTTATTATTACCAAGAGATTAATTCTTCAACATTGGAAAGATAAATTTATAGCCCCAATTATTCAGTGGATTGAACCTGATGTTACTTTCACCCTATGAATGAGTTGCCTACAGTCATAGATTATGCATGGACAATTACAATGAAATATGCAATTGTAAACCAGTTTTATTGAAACAGTTATGTAAAGAACTTCATATATATGCATGAGAAACTGTTATATATACAATTTATCTTGTAACTGCATTTTTTTGCTTTTGTTTTGTTTTATTGCATTTTTTCTCTTAGTCTTTTTTCTCTCTGTTCTGTTTCATTAAACAAATAAAGCAAAAACAAGCTTATAATATTGGAGTAGCCAATATTTCTACTAGTTGTTCCTGTTCCATGGCACATGGCTACCAGGATAACTGAAATATTTCGATTTGACATCTCTGCTTTTTAATGTTAGATGCCACACATCCCTCATCTTGGCACATCTTGGTTTTAAAGAGGGGCAGATGCTGACTAGATAACTGTTGATGGCCAGATGAGATTTCCAGGTGATAGCATGGGTATTGACAGGAGTGAGGCAAGGGGCAGGGATATGATGACACACGTGTCATGACATTTTGATACAAATATTTCATGACATGTTGTAACTGATGCAGATTATGTAATTGTCATCAGTGGGAAAATGACATGATATAAATGTTGTCATTTGATACCACTGTGGCTTGTAACAGACATAGGCTATTTTGTGAGAAGCAAACTGTACCCCCAAATGAAAGGTGACATCAGAGGCCAATGTTTTGCTTCACTCTCACAGACTGCTCTCTCAGAAGTAGAGATTGTTCTTAGGAACACTGAAATCACTATAATGGTATTACTCCAATAGAAATAACAGGAAACAGCCATGCCAATGACTGTATTTCTAGGTTACTATTCTGCTTCCAAAATCAGTCGTAATTTAATCCCTATTAAAACAACCTTGCAAATAACTATTTGAATAATGGTGGTAACTTACCTCATCTCTTCTGTAGGCTTTTTCGGGTTCCCACTATCTCAAATAATAGTAACTGTGTGATGATCCAAGTCACAACTCAGGTACATATGGCATTCTTATCATGATGTGTGAGAATTCCCCTACAGCATGATCTTATGGATGTTTACTCAGAAGTAAGTCCCACAAAATTCAGTTGGACACTCCACAGAAAGTGAACCTAAGGCTGCAGCCTTTATGTATATTGGTTACTATATTATGCTGTCACATTAATTGGTAACTTTGGGTGCTGTCACAATGATTTATGACAACTGTGATAAAAGTGATATCAATTGCACTGCTATGCATTTCCAGTAAAAATCTGTTTTGGCTAGATCTGATTAAAGTAACAAGCCTATTTTAATAAGCTTGAAAGAAGAGGCGTTATGGAACAAGCAAAGAGGGAAAAATCTTCAACCATTGCATGATTACAGTTTTGGACATAGGACTTCAGTTCAAATTGTTACACAGCTAGCTCTTTGGATAATGCAGAGCTGGTCATTTCTCTTAATATAACTAACTTTACAAAGTTTCAGTAAAAGTGGGGGAAATCATATCTATCCTCTTACTCCTGGTAAATAAACAGATAAGATAAATCTAGAGAAACTAGGAAGTATTTGCATACCTACCAGTCCTGATCTCCGCAGATGACGTCTTATCCTAGTGTTGCTGAAATAGCCTGCAAGATGCTTGTCTGTTAAGCTGTTGTAATTTGCAAGATATCTGAAATAAACATACAAGCATGGTATGAGAATATAGTTTTTAAAAATAGAAAATTAAAGGGATCCACAATAGCATAGATGTCAAGATTATTTTTTTCAGAATTATGAGTGGCTCTGCCCAAGCCTAGAATCCACCCTAGAGGCCTCCAGCTAAACTGAAGTACACTTTCCCTCATCCCCAGGCTGCAATGCATTGACAGTCTGGCTAAAAAATATGAGAGTCAAACTGCTGTGTCTAACGGGGGTTAGGCTGGGAAAGGTCCTCTATGATTTCATCAGGCCATAGTGTCTGATATAAATACACCAGCATTGGCTATTAGCTATTCCCAGCTTAGCTTGTTAGCTCTAAATTGTGGGGGGGGGGGGAATGACTAACAACAGTCACAATAATTTATAGTTAATCCTTAAACAGGCACAGTGACCAGATGAGAACTCCCTGATGTCTATACATGGTGCATTTAAAACTGTACCTGTATTGCTACTTTGTGTGTTCTACAATGGTAAAGACATGAGAGAGACAGACTAAAATAGTACCTCTTTTAGATATCAAGCAAACCAAGGAGGTACCAGCACATCATAATAAAATGATAAACACCTGAATGGGCTGAGTCATCATTTTTTCTTCTCTTTTCTTCTGCATTAATCCTACGCCTTTGAAACTAGATTACATGCTATCAGGATCTTTAGTTTTAATAAACAAAAAAACGCTCTGATGGCGAGAGAAAAAAAAAAGGAATAAACTATTCTCTTTATAAAAACATGACAAAGGCAAGAGAATTACAGGAAGTTTATTTTTGGTTTCACAATAATCCCACAGGTAGCCTACACGAGATAAATTAAACTTTAAACACACAATTTAGTTTGCTGTGTTATGCCTGGTGATTAAACATGGGTGCTATAGCAACTGTTTTATGTTACTTTCTTTATCCTGTTGTTTGCATTTGCATCTGAAACTGCCAGATTACGGTAATTATACCAAATATTGATTTAGTGTGTTTTGCTGGCTCTGGTGTTCTGCGTGAATAGAGGGGGGGAAAGGAACGCTTAACCCAATATCCTTTTATTTACTTCCTTCTCAGTATTTCATGGCCTACCTAACAAGCTAAAATACAGCAGATTTATCCACTGTGATTCAACATTAGCTACTCTAAATCAGGAAAGAATAAGTCAAACAAACACTCAAGTCAAGGTTTCAGTCTTTACATTGAAAAGACTCATTACAAAAGACAAAAATTGCTTCTTTAGTGTATTAATGCCAGTAGTCTTAATTGTCCTAATTCAGAGTTAAAGAAAGAAGAAAATGGGGACATTAGTGTTTGTCAAATAAAGAATGGAAGGAAGTGTTACTGAAATAGAAGGCTTTTTTCTTTTTCTTTTTTTTAGAAGATATATATCAGAGGAAGCTTAGGCACTGTGAAAATGGTTCTATAATCCCCTAAACTTCCTTTTGACTGTCACCACTGGGCTCAGAGTCAGCAACTCATATGGAGAGTGACAACCCTGTACAGCATCGAAAGGAGGAGAATCAGGGAGCCGACAGATGTATTATGAGTCAGTGGAAACAGATTTTGGTAAAGGCTGCTTTGCCAGGCTAAGCTGCTGAGAGATACAAGGCCACCCAGATCTTTCTGGAGACTGGAAACCAACGAGGTAGTTCAGAGAAAGGACCTGGGAACCCTGGGAGTTTAAGCTAGGTATTACAGCAGAGCGGTTATACCATTATAAAAGTATAATGAGGAGTAATTTTGGAAACTAAGTGAAAGGCTGATCTGGTTGCTGTCTAACCACAAGTTTGTCCATGCTGGATTCTTGGAAAAAAGCAAGGTCAGGCACTGGGTATTTACACTGGAAAGTAATAATATGCTTCAGAACAATGAGGGCAAAGGAGCCAGTGGCCTTATGGTTGGTCAAAACCAGTAGTTAGTTTTGAGCATGAAGGAAAATGAAAATAATCCTGACTGTTGATACATGCAAGTACAGATGCATGGAGGTATGGAAAACAAAAAGGATTGCGAAGATGATATCCAGCTACCTAAAGCTGCAGATTCTTCAGGATTATGGAAAACAAACCAGCCCATTTATAGTACAGCTATGAGTTAGCTGGTCAAGATATTTGCACATCTCCACATCTCCACAGAAGCATCTCATTTTAACATTAACCATGGGAAAAAGGGCATAGGCAATTTGGTTCTGGTTCTCTGAAACCACCTGGAAAATTTTTATTTTTCCTAGCAGCCATCAGGTTTAAGACTTTGCTCTTTTCTAGATCAACAAAATGTCGATAAAATCTAAGAGAAAAACTGCACACGTACAAAGATCTACAGACCTAGCTCATCTGCAACAGAAGGCTTCTAGCTTTGATGAATAGCTTCTAGACAGACCTGGAATTCAGTCCCTTTTGTCTAAGAAATTAAGTAGTGAGGTAGCACAGTTCATAGGAGAGCCTAATCTCTCAAACCAAATTAGCTTTTCTGCCACCCAGGGACTCCAATACAATGCCATATAGTATGACATCACTCGCTGCCTGCATAGATATAGTTTCCACCAACTTAATGAATTGTGTACCTTTCATTCAAACATGCACAAATTATTGAAAACCTAGGTTAGGCTTTCTTTTCTAAGTGCTAATAGCAAACTATTGTAGAGATACGATGTTTACAGTGCTGAAAAGAGCAGAAGGGAGCAACCCTCTTCCTAGTTACCTGTTCCTGACCATTAATGGAATACTACTTGTTTACCACAATCTTATTGATCATACCTGAGGATAAAAGTGAATAAAACATCTTCACGTGGGGTGAGGGAAAACGTGGAAATAATTCATTAAGAAGGAACATGCTAGTCAAGATCAAAAGCCCATTTCATTTCAGTCTGCCTACCAAACAGAACATAAGAGAAATGGCTCTCTCCCACTAGTGTTCCCAGTCATTATGATTCAAGGCCATGCTGTCTGATTCTGAAGGCTGTATAACGTCATTATGATCAGGAGCCATTCAGAGCTTTATCCTTCAATCAATCTGTCTACACAATTAAAGCCATCAGAAAGGATGCCCATAACCACATCATGTGGAAGTGAATTCCATAGTTTATCTATGCTGTACATGAAGAAATCCTACCATTTTCTGGCTATGAACTTTCTAGCATTCAACTTGGTTAGATGATCCAGGTGTGCCAATTATGAACAAAAAGAAAAGTGTGGCCTTATTTTCAAAGCTTTATTTTAATATGTTGTGCAACTAACAAAAGAGGGTTTTAAAAAAATTATTCTAAAAATGTAAACTCACCTTACCTACTTGACATTGTCTTGATGTAGCTAGAAGATAATCCTTTCTCTAGGATATGGACCAAGTGGTTGCATGGAGAACGTGACACAGTGGGGGCAAGAGAAACATTAATTAGTCATCTCTAGGATGCTTTTTTCTTGCTTTGGAAAAGACTGGGCACTGAGCCTGATTAACTTACACAGTCTTCAGATGTAAAATTTTACATGAGGTTTTACCACCAATGTTGAAAAAGGGTTCCAGAACTCTGGTCATGACAGAGTTCACTTGACGAAAGCAAAATATCCAAGGTACACCACAAGAAGGCAGATTTATATAGGTACCTAAAATCACTTAATGACCATCAGTCTACACTTGTAGTTGTGCAATATGTTGATTCAACTACACTCCCAATAGCTACTTACTTCCAAGAGCAGTATCTGTATTGACTTGTCCTCTGCTGTATGACTTCCAAATTCTGACACTCCCACATCTACAGTAATCATGGTCAATGATGGAGGAACCCTACATCAATTACAAGTGGCTCTTTGCCTCTTTGCTACTGATTTCACTTACAAAATTAAACACTTAAACAAATCTTTCAACGACATTTATCAGGGTCATCTCTGTTCCTATCCTTGCCCCTGCCCCTTTCTGTCAGGGCCAGCCCAAGAACAACAGGGAAACAGTCCAACCAGGTTCAGTTCTTTTATTGCTTACGCCACAGAGACAAAATCTTGCCAGACTAAATCTATACTATTGCAACTAGTGGATATACCCTGGGAGATCCTAGGGAGTGGCTATTCTACACCTCTTACACTTCCCATGCTCCTGCTCTGGACTGTGTTGTCTCTTGTCTCCTTGCCCTTCCTGGAATGCACCCCCTCCCTCCTGAGAACCTTGCTTTCTACTGCAATCAACTATATTTACCCACTTTAAGCAGGCAAATATGCTTACATATATTAGGACTAAAAGGGAAAAATCAAAATCAAAAGTCAGTATTAAAAGAGGCACTTTTAAAAACCCCATGAACTATCAAATAGCTGATTTTGGGTGATAATACACTCTTACTTATTGAAATAAGGTTGTTGTTTTTTGCTGACAAATCTTTGTTATCCCCAGCTGATTGGTATAAGAATAAGCAAAGGCTTGCAAAACTATGCTATTAGATTAAGTTACTCTCAAAAAGTTTCAATTACTACTTCCCTTTTCAGCTACTATCCCTCTTCTTTGGATTAGCATTCCCCAAAAGAACCACTTGGCCCTGATCTTAATAGGCATTAGAAAGGCTATTAAAACCTGGATTTTCCATCAGATCTTGGAAAATATGGGTCATGAAGCATTTTCTCTTGTGTTATGCTTTTTAAACTGAGTGTGTTTATTGTTCCTGGCCTGGAATTATGAGTAAGTTATTACTCGTCTGATTTTTATTTTGATTTTTAATCTTATTTTATGACACAGACCATGAAAGCTGCTCAGAATCGCTGACAAGTGAAGTGGGATGTACGACCAGTAAATAAAATATTTTATTTAGGAAAAGAAAAACTGTCCAGAAATAGCAATAGGTCAAAAACGAGGGAGTTAGGTGCAAGGTACAAAAATTACATGGCGTCAATTGCTTACTGGACACAATTTAAAGTGTTGCTATTGCATTTTAAAAGGCTTAAGGGCAGCCTCTCACATTACAAAGTTGTTAAGATCTGCAGGACAGGTCCCTTTGGAAATGCCACTGTTAGCAAAGGCC